GGATGCGGTGGTTGCCGGGCTCTCTGGTCCGGGCTTGACGATTTCCCCAAGCCCACCCCATCCGGCTCCAACAACGAAGGGGAGCTCACCGCCGGCGAGGTTCCCGTACTCCGCCACCGATTCCACGACGGTTGAGTTGGCGGAAGCTGCACGGATCCGTTCAATGAGGCGGGGCATCCATAGATAGCGCATGACGTCCTTGAACTGCTTACTGTCAACGTCGCACTGAAGGTGCTTGGCATGTTTTTGCACTCTGGTCCTCCAATAATTCTTTATTTCGTTATCTGTCCTTCCCGGGAGGTGCTGCGCAATTTTGGACCAGCTGAGAAGTAAACAAGTTGTTCAGAGGGTGGGGTTTATGTAAAAAAATTGATGTTTTTTTTTTTGGTTTTGGAGTTACCGGTTTCCCCAACGAGAGTGGAGCTCGAGGATGAGGAGTTGTTCCTCAGGGGTGATGTTACCTCGCCGGACGTCCGGCCGGAGATAGTTCAGCCACCGAAGTCGGCAGCTTTTTCCGGTTCTCTTGAGCCCTGTTTCACATCATTAAAGAAGAGAATTAGTAAGGAAAATAGAGAGTTTTAAATAAAGATTTTAACTTTATGATTTTGTTTGTGAGAATCTATAATGGTAGTGATCAAGATAGGATTTTGATGGAAGATTAATCAAGGAATGGGATTATTAAGGTAAGGAAGTTAAGATTTTGTTTGATGGGATTGGAGCATGGTTTACCTGCGCAGCGAGCAAGTGAGTTCCAGCGACCTTCTCCATGGCTGGATATATAGTTCATTAGAACAACGTCTTCCTCTAGCGTCCATGGACCTCTCCTTAACTCCATATCCTCCTCGTTAAGAGGAGTTGCAGAGCTACAAGTTGTTCCATGGACTTCCATCTCCATAACTGTCGAACACAGAGCGACAGAGAGAGAGATGTAGAAGAAACAGAGGGATGCTTGAAGTGGAAAGAGACGCAGGAGTGAGGGTTTGTGAGAATTGGATTGGGATGGAATTGGCTTGATTTGGTGAAAAAGGAAAGAGAGGGGCATTATATAGAGGTAAAGTGTCATGTGGGGAAAAACTTAGAGGCTGTAATTAATTATAAATATTTGATCATTCATATTTTTTAATTAAGAGGAGATCCTTTATATGACAGAAAGTGGACTAGTTTGAATTTGTGAGCCAAGCGACTGACTTGGGAGGATGGCATTGAATTGTGACTTTTCTACCACTCATTCTTTCTTGTTTCAGTTGTTTCTTTTTTCCCCAGCTTGGTTTCGCTCTAGGCTCTTTTTCTCTCGTGATAATTACATCTAATGAAAATATAATTTTTAGTGCGAGTGAGTTAAGATGATTTCATAATTTTCTTAGAAGTATTTATTAAAGAAATTCCTCGTACGATTTTTTGTTAATGGATGTAAAAAATAGCTTTGTGCTTTACATCTTATTTTAGGAATTTTTTACATTTGATGCTACATGAGTTCTGAATTAGAACCTTTTAAGATTTCTCTTAAATATTTGCCTTTAATGTCTTTCGATATGAGCAATGAGGCCATGCATTTGCCATCTAATTTGGTCATTTGATATTGGAGGTGATCATTTTGAGAGGCTGGACATATTCTGAGGATTAAAGTATCATTCATTCTCATTATATGGGACATTGAGACTAGGTCTATGTAGAGATGATGGGAGATCTACGAGGCTCTTTCAAGCTTATGAGCCACAGTTGTTGACTCAACCAAAGTCAGATTCATGCTGAGTCAAAATTTAATTGTCTTATTATTACAATATAATTTTATGATATATTGTGGAGCCAGATATTTTACAAATGAATAAAGCATGCTATATAGATCTTGAACCCTTCTTAGGGCGTAGAGTCCCGTATCATTTGTGAGTACATATAGTTCGTTGAAAGATATAGCATGTAGAAGTGATGCCATAGAGAGAGGGAGAGGTGAATGGAAAATCTTGATAGGGAACCTTATCCAGTTTATTGAGTTGTTATCTCCAATCATCCTGAGAAGTGTGTTTTATTAGAGGTTCCCTGAGTTACAAGATTTTAGAGAGAAAAAAGAAAGAGATTGAATAGGGGAGATCGAAAGTTACCTTTTATTCTCCTCTCTGATGAGGACTGAGCTGATTGCTTCGTTACGGACACCCAAATAGTTGTATAGTTCTTTGCTAGGGATGGGGTTGTGTAGTAGACAAAGTGATGACAGTAAGCTCTTGAGCTGCGCAAAATGATTGGTACTTTTGATGTTTTTGAAGAACAATGAGCAGTGATCCTTTGATTATGAGATAAATCTACTGAGGCTTGCTATTCATGTCGTTAAGACTTGCATTCCCTTAGGTGTTTTGGCAACGACATGCTAGTATGGCCCGTACCTTTTTCAAATTTGGTTTGATCCCTTTGCGAGTAAGTAGGTAACCAAGAAACTTGCTAGAGGTAGCTCTGAAGGTGATTTTCAGAGGGTTGAGCTTAAGCTTGAACTTTCTCAAAGTGTCAAAAGTATGTCCAAGGTCTAGTATTTGTTGTTGTGGTGTTTTGCTTTTTACTAACATGTCATTGATGTAGACTTAAATGTTCTCACCTTTTATATTAGCGAAAAGGATGTTTATCAACCTTGATTGGTTGGTTCTGCATTCTTCAATCTGAATGGCATTACAATGTTATAGAAAACATGATGATTCGATGATAGCCAGAGAAGGCATCCATAAAGCTCATGACTAGTTATCCCATGATAGAGTTGACTAGTGCACTGATTTAGGCGAGAGGATGATTATTCTTAGGTCAGGCTATGTTTAGGTTGGTAAAAAATCCACACATCTTTTAAATTTACCATTCACTTTCCTTACCAACATCACTTTAGCCATCCATTCTGGGTACCTAATTTCTCTTATGAACCCAATATCCAGCTTCTTTTGAACTTTTTGACATATGGGTTTAGTCAATTTCTTGGCTGTGGGGCGCATCATTTGCTTCAGCGGCCTAGATCTCGTTGTGATGTTTAGGCGATGACATGTGATATCAATATTGACTCCAAGCATTTCAATAGAGCTCTAGGCAAATACATCGTTGTTATTTCTGAAGACATGGATGAGATGGTCCTGATGCACTTTGAGAAAGCCCATACTGACTAGGAAAATTCTTCCAGATTCATCCGCACAAACAGGCACCAGTTAGGGGACTTCGTAGCCACGAGACCACTAACCTTATTATGATCAACTAAGAAAAGGTCTTCTTGTATGTTTTCTACATTCTATAGGTAGCAGATGTGTGATTGAATTAAGTTCCCTCAAATTGCGATGATTCATTAGTTGATGGGAAACTTAACTGCCACATGATAATTGGAAATCACTACTCTGTAGATATTCAACAACGGTCTGCCAAAGATGGCATTTTACATGTTTGGTGCTTCAACCATGATGAATATCAGGCATCACTATGAACTGATGTTCTCCTTCTCACCAAGTAACTGAGAGAGCAAAGACTTCACAGACTTTTTTTTTGCTCTACCGAGAATTCATATAATGGTCTAAAACTAAGGCCTAACAAATTGGAAACAATTCTAATCTGCTCAAAGATTCCCTTGAGCAGGATTTTCTCATAGTTTCCAGTGTCTGTCAGGATGATTTGATAGTCCTCAATGATTGCAATAACAACGATAGCTCTATCAAAGGACTAGCAAGAAGATCATCATTTGAACATATTCGAAAGAAAGTGGTGTGCAGAGTATTTCGTTATAGTGGCTAAATTGATTTCTCCCCCAAAGATGGCAGATATAACCCAAATGACTTGGGTGTGGAGTGTTTCACCATAGTGACCAAATTGATTTCTCTCCCACAAATGGCAGATATAACCCAAATGACTTGGACTACTCTCATTGTTGGTTTCTTCAGTATGTGCTTTTCCGTGCTTCTAAGTGTGGGCTTCAGGGGCCACAAACTTCTTCAATTTATTAGCCTTGATCAACTCTTCGATAACATTCTAATGATGATGACATTTTCCAACGTCATGCCTATGGATTTAGTGATATGCAGCATATCAGTTAGGATCATAGGCGTGACACCGACCTTTAGGGGAATGTTATTTCTAAAATATTCTTTGTTCTAGATGGTAGCTACGAATTCATCGATCAGACAGAGGTTTGATTTTGATAGGATTGGGGGGGATCCAAGTAGTTCTTAAGTCCATTTGTATCTTATTCTTACTAGCTTCTACAAGCTCAGCATGTATCAAAATAGTCCTTCATGTAAGACTTTGGTTAGAGCTACAACAACAGACTCTAAGTCTCAAATATCCAACAGTTCTTATTTAAAATGAGTGATGAAGCTCCACAAGGTTTTGGTGAGCACCTGATGTATCTTTAGGAACACTTGTGAGCCTTTTAGTGGCTTATACGCATTGGTGAACTGGGCCACAAACATCATACAGAAAGACATGATAACCCACTTCAACAAATGATTTAAGCAGAGTAGGGTTAATCCCCTTAACATCTTGAAAAATAAATGATATTTCAATGCATCATTTATCTTGAACAAGAAGACAATCTAAAAGACAGTAAGTGATCTATGGTGTTAGATTTACTTTGTAAGTCTCCAACAATGTGATCTTGAACTTTTTTGGCATCTCGACTTCCAAGGTTTCCCTTGAGAAGGGAGCTTCCATAGTTGTTTACCTTCATATTCCTCTCATTTCTTCTTCATCATAATAGTCGGGAGAGAGCCTTTATCTGTTCTTCATCCTTCCAAGACTTCTTCAACATGATAATCAGGGATTAGTCTTTCTCTTCTTCTAATGACTTCTTCCAGGGAATCCATATTAAACCCTTCCTCATATGAATGATCTAATTCATTTATGGGTAATATCACTTGTTCTAAGTTTAAGCCAAGAGTCCTCCTTACTCTAACTCATGGTCAGTCATGAACGCATGGGTCTCACCTAGGACATCTCTGCCTTGGCGCCTCCAGCTTTGGTGCTCTTAGCTGTGTGTTGACCTCACTTTTGGTTGAGGTTTAGTTTTCCCTCTTTAGTAGCCTAGGGTCTAGCCATAGGACTTTCCCATTGAATATTTCTAGAGGACTAGAAAATGAACCCTCACCATTAGAAATTTTAAACTCTTCTCTGCTCAACTTGAATTTCCACATATTGGTCATAACCTCTAGCACTTATTAGGTGGGGTCAATATGGAGGAGCTCAAGGTGAGTCACCATAGGACTATTTGGCTTTAAGGTTGACTCTGGGTATTGTTCTGGAGCTGGTTCATTCACTTGCACTCACATTCACTCACATTCACTCACAACCCAAAACTCAAAACTTTGTTGACTTTGATCCATTGATCCTTTGGGAGACTCATGTAGATTGTCCCCTAGACCCACTAGCCCTAGGCTGAGGTTTAGCTAGTACCAGTACATAGAGGACCCAAATAGGGATTCCATTGGCCCATGGCTCAAATAAAGTGGTTGGCACCCAATTTTACCAAAATATCCAACCTTAGCCTTTTGTTCCTCAAATCTACCCAATTTACCCTACCCAAATTACCAAAATACCCCCAAATCCTAAATTTGACGAAATTCTCAATTTCACCCAAAATACCCAAATTTGTTTGAAAGTCATTTCAAATCACTTCAAACTACCCTAATTGCTCAAAACCACTCAAAATTTCTAAAATTACCAAAATACCCCTCATTTGGCCAAAATTACAAAATACCCTTGATGGCCCAAACTTTCCCAAAATGTCCAAAACCATTTCAAATGTTTTCAAAACTAATTTAAACTTTATCATTGAGCCCAATTTGATCAATTTGACCAATTTTGACCAAAAGCCCTAAAGTGCCCCTAAAGGCCCAATTTTCCCAAATTCACCCTAAATGTACATCAATTTGAACCCAATATCCCTTAATTTCAATTCTAAACTCAAATTCATCATGCCTATGATCATTTAGAACAAAATCCAAGCTTAATTGACCCACGTTTTGAGCTCAATTTTGATTCAAACCAAAATCC